TATTAAGATATTTTATTCTTGTGCAAGACTATATGAAATGCTATTTTCGCCTTAATAATATAAGTTCTTGGATATATGAGTTTTGCCTATTTAATTCTAGACAAGTTATAATTATACTAAGAAGCTAACCTCGTGTGTCACTTTCCTAGTTGCCTAACAGTAGCGTAGCTCCAGGTCAAAGTCTTTCTATATTCGTAATTACATCAAAATATATCCAGCCATTTCCACGGTAAGGAATGACAAACATACACACATACAAACTTTTACATTAATATCGTAGGACGATTTGATCAATCTCATTTATTCGCCTTTTCGAGCACTAAATTTCATCTAAATCCGTTCAGCTTTTTAGCGTGACGGAGTAAAAAATATGCACAAGATGATTTGAATATGTTTAATACAAGCGACACACCCTCGCTTCGCCCGGTTTCGTCCCTAGGTACGTTTTAATATTTTTGAACGCAACCCTAACTCATTTTCTAAAATAAAAGTAGCCTATGTTACTCCCTATAAAACAGCTATCTTCCAGTGAAAGCCCCATCAAAATCAGTCCAGCCGTTTCAGAGATTATCAGGAACAAACAAACAGACAGACAAATATTAAAAAAAATGTGTTTTTCGTACAAGTACCGTATATAATTTCATATGTATTAAGTAAAACGCTGTTATTTTGACATTACAAACAGACAATTTTATTTATCGGTATAGATAAACAAAAGAATAAATTGCGAACTTAAGTACGTTAGAATAACAAGAGTTTCTGCAAAACATTTAATTAATTCAGTTTTTCTATAGAAGAGCAAAAATACAACACTCGTTTAATCTACAGTGTCTAGATTAAACGTGAGACGTGTCTAAAGTTACTAATTACTTTGATGATGGAACACTAGATGAACGTTTATCATAATAATATATTTTAAAAAGTCATAAAGTATTCTAAAAATGTATGATGATGTTGTTTGTACTATAGGTATAATTTCTATCATTAATCTATACATATAATAAAATCTTAACTGTGTCGAATCTGAAAATTAAATATTTTTCGGAAAATCTTTTTGAAATAGTCATTATTATTGATACAGATGCCGAATCTATAGTTTTTAGAATTTTTGTCTGTCTGTCAGTCTTGGAACGCATCACGTGAAAACCACTAATTTTAATGAGATTTGGTATGATTGGTATATAGGATGAGAGATGATATCTTAACTTCTCGCGGTTAATTTCTAAGAATTCAATTGTTCACCGAGCCACCGGTGGCTGGTGGTCTTTATTAGGTCATTATATACTTGTTACAGATAGGGCCTACCCACAAATCCAAAAAGATAGTTCTATTTAAAATGTCAAATATTCGCGTAAATCTACGAAAGTATTCTATTAATATATGTTTCCTAAATAATGATTATTGTCGAATTTTGAGTACAAAGCGTAAATAATAAATTCGTATATTATTTTATAAGAATGATACACAAACAAATATCATAGGAAATTACTTTACTACGATAGAAAATATGTTACTCAACCAAGCGCATCATTAGAAATATCTATATTATACTCATATTCGTCTTTCATTTTTTGCCAAAATGAATATTATTTGAAAGCTTTATATTATGTCTATTTACCTACTATTGTCTTCATAATATTATGTTGCTTCGTCCACTTGGCCTTATCCTCGTAGTTTTTTTGTAATTGAATTTTTTCTATCATTTTCCCTAGAAACTATGTGGTGGAAACTCTATACTACTCTTCTTATATTTAAAATATTAATTTGAAGTTGTATCGGTTGAATGTTTGTACTGAAATAAACTTAACAGTTATATTGTATTACAAATAAAAATATAAGTAATCATATAATAAGAAACTATTTAAATAATAATTATCTGTATATAAATATTATAAATGTGAATGTTTGTGAGTATGGATGTTTGTTACTCTTTCACGCCAGTACGGCTGAACGGATCTGGATGTTTGGCACAGAGATAGATAACAGTTTGGATAACGTACTGCTCTCTTAGATAGGTTTGTCCTAGAGACAAACCCGAGCGAAGCGAAGGTGAGCCGCTAGTTTTCTTATAATTTTAACCCTTTGTTAGTGAGGTTAAAATAAAACGAAATTGTTTTAAAATTAATTATGTTTAGACGCTAGTCATTTATTTGTTGACTTATTGAAGCTAGCTTTTGCAGGCTGAAATTAATGTCACAATAGTTTTTGTAAGTTTTTAGAAAGTTACATATATATATATATATATATATATATATATACATATATATATACATACATTGTTCATTTAAAGCTCTTTTTTTACACGGGTACTTACATTACACGGATAGACCATGATCGTCGTAGTGTATAGAAGCTTAAGGTACAATTCGAGCGAAGAAAACGTTGTCCAAATTACACACACTTGAGTGACTCGCAATAGATCCGAGTAAGGAGATTGGAGTAGCTTATTTTGTTTGCTTTGTTTGTATAAATATGAGAACTCTCACAGAATGCTTGAATGGAAAACGAAATTGAAAACGCCTCGATAATAGTATATTCTGTATTATTACTTTATTACCTGTCTCTTTGGGTAAATGACTGCAGATTTAGTCCTGGGTTCAAATCCCGAGTCATCCCAAATTATTAATTTTAAAGGTAATGAAGTGTCAGGACATATTACATGCAGCATATCCACCGATTATTTGGTCTACCAGAGAGAGAGAGAGAGCTATTTGATATAACATATTGAACTTTTGCCAAATATCTACTTCTTGTAGGTTAAAACACCAAAATATAGCTTATTTTGACCGTAGACGATATTAATGTGAATATACTAATGTAAAACCTTAGCGACAGGAACGAAGGTATTTCACAAAAAAAGGGTTGTGTACTTTCCATCCACCTAGAAACTTCTCATAAAAGTTTATAAAATTTCATGCTCACTGACAATATAATTATGATGTAAAACGGGATATGTGCCATGTATAGCACTTACCTTTGAGAGTTTCCGTTATTTCGGTACTGTGCAAGCGCCATGATCATGGATATACTGACCATAATATAGCCATGACCATGGTGCTTGTAAAACGTTTTACATCATATTAATGTTTTCTTATAAAAATCAGTTTTTTGTTTCTAAGAACATTCTATAACGAATGGTCCAGTAATAACCGTCTACCGAATGGCTTTTATTTCTGCACAAATTACTTCTAACTCCATTATAGTTAACATAACAATCCGACAAAATGTTATAAACGTTTACTTTATAATTTGTAAGATGACTTTTGTTTCTTACTTTATATTATAATTTCATTTGTTTATCCTTTTATTTTACTAGAATCGTAAAGTTAGCATAGACATCATATTTTTACATCTTTTAATTTAAAATATTTGTATTTATTATAATTAATTAAAATAAATGAATTTAAGAGGCAATAATAATGTGTTAAATAATAATTATTTATTAATTTGATTTATATAAATACGATGGTATTATGGCAACATTCTTTTTTTTTGATTATTAAAAATGTATGTGACACAACTGTCATATGGACAGGGTGTGAGAGTACGAGTAACGGTCCGGTGTGTTATTTCATTATTGTAAATTTAAATTATTTAAATACATTAATAAACGAACGTAATAAATGGGTATTTCATTTTAAGTGCATGCTAATAGTAATGTTATGTACGAGTATCTATCGATTTTGTCTATCAAAACGTATTTTTCGGTGAAGTCCTTACTATATTTCCGTTTTTATTATTATTATGTTACAAAGTGAGAAAGAGAGTATCTGGATGAAAATTATTCTATATCATTCAAAATTAAGTACAAACTATGTCTACGCAACTAAATTATCTCTATACAAAAAACATGTAGAGTCATTATACAATTTCTGTTCCTATGGCACAAAAGCTCAAGTCAATTCGTATATAATACTTTCTTAGATTCACGCGAATATTTAACATCTATACATATAATGAAGTTGTAACAAAGCCGAATCTTGTTGAAATAGACAGTATTATCGATACAGAGGCCGAATCTATAGTTTTTAGAATTTTTGTCCATCCGTTTGTTTGTCTGTCTGTCTGTTACCGCATCACAGAAAAACCACTAGAGAGATTTTGATGAAATTTGGCTGGTTATCCGGGTCAACATATAGGATACTTTTTAGCGCGTGAAAATATCTCATTTTGAGAAAAAATACAAAAACTGCAATGTAAGAGTATACTAATATGTAAAACCTTTTGGTCATTTGTCTGTAATAAGTATACAATGACTTTTGAGACGTCTAAAACCACCCTCTACTACTTTAGTCTACTACTTTAATCTATCTCGAAACCATGGTTGCTGTAAAGCATTTGAAACGTCGGGAACCAAAAAATAAAAATAAATTTGTGACAAAAATCCAAAAAGATAGTTATACTTATTTACAATTCATACATTTTAAATACTTCTGTACTTTAACATTTTTAAAGTTACAGCTTACAACATTTCCAGCGAGAGAAAAACATTATCTAGCAACGAATAACAATTTCTTTTTTAAAGTATATTAAAACTTAAGTTATGAAAGCATATCCGTGCCAAAAATTGTACTAAACAATACCTACATTGTAAAATTGAAACGAGCAGTGATGCAGACTCACTCATTCAAATTTGGGGCATAGCATGCATCAACATAAGAGATTATAATGCAGAAAAACTTCTATGAGAGTTGTTTAACTCTTTAGGGGAATAAAAAGTAGTGCACTTTTATCAACATGTGTTCTATTTATCTTAACGTAATATATTAAAACTGCAGTCACTTCTTTATATATTAACTAGCCTTCTTCAAGTTTGCCTAGAAGCCTAACAGTAGCCTATGTGTTATTCCAGGTCAAGTATCTATGTACTGAATTTCATCAAAATCTATCCAGTCGTTTCAGCATCAAGGAGTGACAAACATACATACAAATATACAAACATTTATATTAATATAGTAGTGTGATTTGATCAATCTCATTTATTGATTTTTTTTCTACAGGGACTAGAAATAAAGGGACAGATGGTTTTCTGTTCGGAATCTGATTCACTTCTTTTCGTCGGCTCACCCTTCCTAGATGGCCTCGAAGGGTTGACAGGGCGGGGACTGTTTATATCTGACATCCCATTACACGACGCTACGAGAGACGTCATCTTAGTCAGCGAACAAACAAGAGCCCAGGTTGGTATTTTTTGTTACCGACATTTGCAGATTGTCTTAATGGATTAATCTCGCACTGTGTTTACTTGGCTGATTAAACGTAGCTATATATATGTAAAGTTATTTTAAAAGTTCATTTTAGTTTGAAATATTTTTGGTTTTGTTATGTTAGATAATGTCTTGCTATTTGCAATATATGTATATCATAGATTATATATTTTTTACTATAACATTTTTTTAGACACAAAATAATCGAAATTAATGAAGGCACCCATAACAGATAGCATAATATTTAAAAACATCAAAAAATTGTTAACAAAATTTATTGTTACGTTGTCACTTTTAAAACGTTAGCAAAGTCTGTTAAAATGCGAATGAATTATATACATATTTATTTCCTAGGAGGCACGAAGTAAAAGAATTGAATTACATATTTAATCATTTTCATAAGTAACTACTTAATTATACAATGAAACAAGATTTAAAATGGGCACAAATTAAAATATCTCGCTTTAACTCCGAAAACACGGAAATCCCAGTGTTACAAGTAACATAATTGACTTACTCAATCTCATTTTAACGGAAAATGAGGATATTCGATATTATAATGTTAAACCCTCTTAATTCTCTTGGTTTTCTGTTATTTAAAAATTTGGGTGACTATTTTGTGCTTAGTTTTTATTTTACTATTAAAAGTTTGAACTGAATTATAAGCTCATTTTTTTTGCAAGTTAAAAAAATCTTTCGTAAAGCTTAAAATTTAAGTTTTAGATTAAAATGTTAAATAAAGTAGATATATAATTTTATAAAACACCATACTATCAATAACCAGAAAATCGTTCTATTTCCGCCAAAGCAATAAATCTTACGATCCAATACTGCGTTTAATGAGAATTTCCAAGCGTTATCTGCGCCAAATAATTGCCTTGCAATTAAGTAGCTGTGAAAAAATACCCTTTACACTGTCGGTTTCACCTTTAATAAAAATTTCAACACCCTCGCATATTGGATTCGTAATATTTTACTGTGTAATATTTTAATGCTAAAAAAAATTATAGAAACTTATATTATAAGAATATAATATTTATGGATGGATAACCGTAAAATACTGCAAGCATATGTTTATAAGCTGAGTGAGCTGGTAGTGATTTACGATAGTTTTTTATCCGTAGGTACTGTTCCCATCCACCTTACTAGAGCTCTATCTACATGATATCGAATTATTGTCAATTTTTACAATGTTATGTCGCGTATCTCACATATGTATATACCAAATTTCAAATTGATTCGACAATCGATACTAATATTATAAAGTGGCAGAGTTTGTTTGTTTGTTTGTAATAAATGTTAACAAATCAATACATTATTGTAAATGGAAGGGAAGGAAGAGTTTATTTTTTTGTACTTCGACGGGGGCAAAGCCGCGGATTCTGCTAGTAATAAAATGAATTAAAATCCTTTAAGATTTTACAAGTGAATAAATGAAAACATGTTAGAAAGTATCTGTACAACACATACAAATGTACTGTACAGAAATCGAATTGTCAGCCTCAGGGTTAGCAAGCGAATATGGGACTTAGAAAAGATGTTATTTTGTAATGGTTATAGTCTTTAATTATCATATTATAGACCGAGAAAATGCTATTCAAATTTATTTATTTTAGTTTTTCTATTATTAAACGATTGTAGAAAAACATTGGATCTAAACTCCACGATGATACTAATTTCCGTTATTTTGAAAGTACTGCGCTCTGCATATGGTGTTACTTATGATCTTTTTCACAGGACGGCCTTCGAAAGAGAATGGATAAATTGAAAAATTCAATAATGGAAACCAGTAAATCAGTTGACAAGGAGAGGGAGAAAAACGTCAGCCTTCTCCATTTAATATTCCCACCGCATATTGCGAAGCGACTATGGCTAGGTAAATTGCATTATTTTACATGGTAAAATATTAGTTATTTAAATTATTTTCATTGATTTTGCATAGATTATACAATTATTAGTATTATTTTACATTGAATTTATTTATTTATGGAAATATACTATTCTATATTATATTATATTATATATAAGTCAGGAGATTATAATTATACAAATTTCATAATAATAATTGGTAATTTAAAAAGGTTTGTATCAAAATGGTAATACTTTATTATTATATATAATACGTTAATTCAGTTAATGAAATAATCCTATGAAAGCAGTCTTTCAATTTATCAGTATGAAATATATGTTATAAAATATTGAGAATGCATATTGTATACAAGTAATAATGAGCGTAAGTTTAACTTAAACTCTACACGTGCTTCAGAAACTATTATGTTACAGATATTTTATTTTACAAAGCATTAATTAAATATTTAAACCAAAACTCGCTGCCAGCGAAGAAATATATTTTATTTAAACTTGATCACGATTTATTTACTTAAACTCGTTTGCGTTCCAAAACACTCGTCTTGCTTCAAAAATGCAATAAAACCTGTACAAATACCTATTATATTATTACTAGGTAATTGTAGTTACACACTATACGGGGTTCGATTCCTGCCTACGACAAATGCTTATTGGATGAAAGCTACTACTCATATAGTGGAGTGCCTTAATGACAGTCAGTCAGTCAGACAGTCAACAAAAAAGAGGACAATATATGTAAAAGCTCAACATACATAATATATTTAATTTTTTTTTCTTTATAACATCCTTTTTATACGGTATTGATTAAACTAATAATTAGTAAAGCTAATTGTCTTTGTAATGTTATGTATAATTTAGTATATATTTGCGAAATTTTCACTGACGAGTATTCGAGCTTCATAAACCAATTTCCTTTGCTATTAAACGTATATTGTTTCCACGAGATAGTTATTATGGCTTTAAAATCTTTTTATTACGAAGATAACTCTCAAAACGGAGATGGGATATCGGGTTTTAGATATTCAATTTGTAGATAACTTAGATAATTTGATTGAATTTTGTTGTTCGAAGCGATTGTCGCGCTGTGGAAGATTTATAGTAGAGATATATACTATGACATGTACTTCTATATATTTTTTCCCAAATTATCAGATAAAATATATCCTACTAAATTTAACATAAATACATACTTAAATAGATAACTGAACTATTCTATTCTAGCTACTGTATATACTTTAAATAATTTATCGAAAATTTTATTGTTAAAAAATCAGCCCTAAATATCTTTTAAATAAACTAAATTCACATATATATTCACTATATTTTAACTTTAGTTATAGTTATCTTCTAATTTTAACGGTTTTTAAACGATTTTCTTACATTTACTAGGTGAAGCTATAGAAGCAAAAAGCCATGACAACGTGACAATGCTCTTCAGTGACATAGTAGGTTTCACGTCCATATGTGCTACAGCCACACCCATGATGGTCATTGCCATGCTTGAAGATTTATACAGCGTGTTTGACGTATTCTGCGGAGAACTGGATGTCTATAAGGTAAACTAGTAGTTGTTTTTTATTTCATTTTATTAGGCTCATCAACAAGTTTACATTTAACAAATATATAAGAAATAACTTTAATGTATACAAATAGGTAAAAATAACATTCATCATAACTTATAGTAAATGGTAAAAATAATTTCAAAAAACTTAGATTTTTATTATAATGCACAAGACGAAGAAACCTGGCCTTTTTTTCATTAAATGGACAGTTCCAATTGAAAGCCAAGACAATAATAGTTTTTAGTATTTTTTCCATTTAAATACACAATAGTAGACGATGTAGGCGTGAATTATATTAAATATATAAATAAATAAGTCCGGTATTAATTTTTTAAGTGCAATAAAGAATAGTAGGTCCTTTGAAACTTAGTGCAAAAATATAAATTCTCATTGATATATGAAAACACAGATACACATTTTCTAAAAAATATATCTTTAAAAACTACCATCGACATTTCACATTAAGTAAAACCAAAGACAAAAATTCAAAAATCTAAAGCTTCGTTTAAACTAAGACACTACACGGTACACTCAGTGTATATGTTGCAGCCAACTAGCTTAATTAGCCGTTTGATTAGCGGCCTAACATTTAATTAAACGGCGCCATCTTTTGGCAAATTTTATTACTAACAAGAGTTATGTGTCAGTCTGTTAGTAGTATGATAAATAATTTAATTTAAGAACAAAAATAAATGATATTTCAAGTAAATGTAATACTTCAATATGCTCCTGTATCACAACGTACGTACTTTCATATTAAGAACGCAACAAGATTTTATCATATGACTATCTAAATGACAATTCACGTGTAAAGCTGCAGTCAAAAAGTAGATAAAAAGAAAAAAATATATTTATAACTACAGTATAAAGTATACACCATCCTTATACCATATAAACTATGATTGATCACTTTCTTATCCGCCGTGTCAGCCTCGATGTTCTCAATTAATCTAAGAACGCTTCAGCGACAGAAATGTATGTATATCGAAATAGGTCATATGAGATATATAAGGCTAACAGAAATAGATCTCAGGAACTTAATCCATACATATAATAAAATTGTAACTATAGTTTTTAGAATTTTTGTCTGTCTGTCTATCTGTTACCGCATCACAGAAAAACCACTGGAGGGATTTTGATGTAATTTGGTATGGTGATAGCTGGTTATCCGGGTCAACATATAGGATACTTTTTACCGCGTGGAAATATATATACTAATATGTAAAATCTAAGAATTGGGTTTTTGGTCATTTGAACGCGGGTGGAGCCATGGGCGATGCTAGTTTTGATATAATTAAGTCAGCTTTTAAAATAATCCGTACATGAATGTGGTGGAGCTGAGTTTTTCTGATAATATTGAATTTTAGTATGTAAATATTTTAAGTAATTATTAATATTCATATTTATGATAAAAACTTATTGTCCCCTATTAATTTACCACGTTTAGTAATACACATTTTATTGCAGGTTGAAACCATCGGAGACGCGTATTGCGTTGCGAGTGGCTTGCATCGTAAGATAGAGACTCACGCGCCACAAATAGCGTGGATGGCGTTACGTATGGTAGAAACTTGTGCCCAGCATCTCACTCATGAAGGAAATCCCATAAAGGTAATAAGTCAAGATGAGATAACACATTAAATATTTGATTCAAGAAACATAAAAAACCGGTCAAGTGCGAGTCGGACTCGCACACGAAGGGTTCCGTACCATCATACAAGATATAATACTATGTACCTACTAAACGATTTTTTTATTTGCATGGCGGCCATTTTGAAAGTGACATCTTGGTTTTTTTTATTATTTGTTTTAAAGTGGCAATAAAATATGCACTGTGAAAATTTTAACTCTCCACCTATTATGGTTCATAAGATACAGCCCGCTGATAGACAGACGGACAGCGAAGGCTTAGTAATAGGTCCCGCTGGCACACTTTAGGTACGCAACCCTAGAAAAGCAAAAGAACCATAATATATAATTCAAATTCATGCAATCCTTAATATTTTTTTAAGTTTTAACTCCTTTTTAAAGAATAATATATGTACATAATTAAGCTTTAACTAAGTACTAAAAATGGTTTTCATACTTACCACGCAAGATTCGATACAAAGAAACCTATGTATTATCCCAGATATATTCTGACTGTCATTGTATCAAATTTCATTAAAATTTCATAATAAATATTTTTAAAGTTCCGTAACTAAAATATATTTCTTCTCTTTATGATATCGATAAATTCATTTAAAGCATAAATAAATTAAATTATTCAGTAAATTAAATGAATAATTAGGCAAATGCGACAATTTTATAGCTTTTATTCCTCACGATATATAGGTCTCTTGGGCCATATTTACATATAAAATGGGATTACAGTAATAAATCTATGTGATTCTGTTATGGGTTTGTTTAAAAAAGAGTTTAATTATTTTTACAATTTTGCCCGCGGTTTCGCTCGTGTGGTACGTTAAATTAAAAATAACCTTTGTGTTAAGAATATAAGCTCTTTTAATTTCATATTTCCGTAACATTGTAAACGATTAACAAACCCACAAATTACATACTCACTAAAAAAATCGCATTACATTAGTGTGTTATATAGCTTTATAAAGGATGACTGATGCGAGCTTTCTGCCTTTGAAAGCTCTTCAATTTTCCGACTTTTGTTGTGTGACATATAAAATTATTTTTCACTAGGACTTTTATTAATTTAAATTAAACATTTAATAACAATAGTAATATTATAATTTCTTTATTTTTTAAATAAAATCTTCAGTTTTTCCATTACATTTTTAATAAATTTTCGTTCGTTTATACTATTTTTATTCATGTTTTCATGAAAAATAAATAATTAATGCAGATAAAAACTACTAAGCTACTAAAATTCTTACATAGACATAATATATTTCAAACCACAATGTACATGAAACCCACGATCTGATATAAGTTTTATTCAACAGATGCGTATAGGTCTGCACACAGGCACAGTGTTGGCCGGCGTGGTCGGCAAAACAATGCTTAAGTACTGTCTCTTTGGCCACAACGTCACTCTCGCCAATAAGTTCGAATCCGGTTCAGAGCCTTTGAAGATCAACGTTAGTCCAACCACTTACGAGTAAGTTACGTAAATAATTATATAGCTGTTTATTTCAGCAATGTAATATAGATATTTTCTATGACTACTAGCCTAAATTTACTTAAAAACATTAAATTTTAAATTAATTTGTTTTACAATAAATACCTTTTTATATAACTACATAAAAAAATATCTTTTCGGATTTTTTCGTGGATTTATTTTGATTTTCACTTCTTAAAAATCAGAAGTGAGAGAAAAAGAAGAAATTCCCCGGTTCGGGGAACCAAAAATCATAATATATCGGTAAAAAAATCTGAAAAGATAGTTTTAATGTCAAATATTTGCGTAAATCTTAAAAAAGTAAAGTACTAACTACATAAAATTTACACAAAATATGTCATGAAAATATGTGCTTACTTTTAAGTTAAAATATAAAAATGGAGAAGTATTATTGTATTATATTCATGTCACATATATAAGTTTAGTCGGTAAGCTTTTAAAATAATTTCAAGTTACTTGTACGATGATAATATGTTAAATTACTAGTATGACTTCTTGTTACGATAGTTGAATCGTTTTGGCTGTTATTCGTTTATATATAATCGCTTTTGAATTTCGTTGCGTAAGCCCATGAATATTATAGATGCAAACGTTTGGATGGATGTTTGTTACTTAAACACGACAGAACAATTAGTTGTTCTGGCATGGCTGGCATTTGGCACAGAGATAGATTATAGTCTCGAATAGCACATAAGTTACTTTTTATTCCGGAAAAATGTACAGTTCCTGTATGATAAATTTGTTTTTATATTTTACTTGGGATGAACCCGAAGCAAAAGGAGTGTGAGTCGCTAGTGCAAAAATAATATCAAGTCAGACTGGTAGTTCAATAGATTAGAGCGTTTAAACAAACAAAGTTTTCCGTGTTATATATATATATATATATATATTAGTTTAGATTTTATAAATCACCACCAAACATTCAAACAAATAAGGGTAAAGTAATTAAATATCTTTAGTATATATAATATTTATTCAATTATGAGCTTAAAAGCTCATTCAATTCAAGCCTAAAGGCTAGAAATAATTAACTCTACTTAACGAAGGCGACATCAGATTTCAATAAATTAAAATAGAAGATGTTTTAATTTGAAGTCAGTATAAGAAATTCTATATTAATTGAAATCAAGATCTATTAAGTCTTCCATAATCCACCATAGTTCCTACATAATAACCATATACTGTAGTCCGTCTGTAGTGGCTTTTATTTTCAACACATCGACCAACAAGATGACCGGATTAGCAAGAAGAACAGAAGTTATTCTGCCCAAATTTCATTAAAAGTTTGTGAACTTTGAGTATTGAGTATTCGGGCAACATCCTGTTTTTCGCAAATTTCCTAATTTTCCGGATTTTTTTTTTAATTTTTTTTTCTTACAATCTCATTCATTACAATATATATCCCATAAAAAACATAAATGTGAAAATGGAAGCCAAGTTCAATATTAAGAATATGCGTGGTTGTCAACATCACCGACAAAAGAATTGAGATCTAAATGGGTGCCAAGTTCTGTAGATAATCCTGATTTTTTTTTCATAAAAACATACAACACTCTAAAATAAATTTAAAACACAATTTCTTGTTTTTTTCTGTTACAAACGTGTTTGCTATTTAAAAATAGGATAAATTGAAGTTCAAGATTTGACATGGCTAGTTTTTACATACAAGTTATCTTATATTCGGCTAATCATTTATATCTTCTTTATTTAAGTTTGACGTCAATGTCTGTCTGTATGTGTGTGTGTGTATGTCTTTTTTTTTTATCGTCGAGAATCTGTGGCATCGTAGCTCTCAAACGGATGGACCGATTTCGATGCGGTTTTTTTTCATTTGAAAGCTAGTTTCCTTGCGGTGGTTCTTAGCTATGTTTGGTTAATATCGGCCCACCAGTGTAAGAGTATCAGCTCTTTTCCAAAATGATGTAAGGTATTTTGGAAATCATGGTATCATTACTCGATTAAGTACTTCACGAGTGCCAGTGTAATTGTTAAATGACAATTAATTTGCGTAAGGGGTTTTTAAATTTTTAATTTATAATTATTATATTGTAAGATCAATATGTCTCACTCTTCTAAAAACTTGCTTTACTGGCAATGCTTATATTTTGGTGCCAGTGAACATGTTTAGTTTCAAAATAATCATTCGTTTACTGAGCGACGATGGTAATCTATCAAATATTGTCATATATATTGCTCTGGACTTTCATATTTTGTAATATTTGGGTTATTATAAGGGAAATAATGAATGATATCGTGAAAATGTTAACAGACAAATAAGCTGGGTTGAGTGATTACTTTTCCTTTAAATTTATGATGTAATATAACCTATACTTATATTATAAAGAGACAGAGTTTGTTTGAACGCACTAATCTCAGGAACTACTTATCTGATTTAAAAAAAAACTTTTTCCATTAGATAGCCCGTTTATTGAGGAAGGCTTATAGGCTTATAGATATTATCATGCTCATACCCAAGCAGTAATATAATATATAGTCTATACCATACTAACACAACAATATACGTTAAAACGTACCTAGGGCCGACCCCGAGCAAAGCGAGGGTGAGCCGCTAGTATTTCAATATTTAATGTGATTCTATATGTATAGAGCGCTATATAAACAAAACCAATCGTAATTTATTTATTTATTTAGGTTTTCATACATAAAGATATTCAATTAGAATATTCGCCTTCGTCTAAGCCTCATTTCATTATTGAACTAATAAAGGTTATTTTGAATTCGAAACGTTTTAATTGTTTAACTAATTTTATGGGGATTTCATCTACTTAATTAAATTGCGGTGGATAAAAAAAACTCATTACATAAGGTTATTTTTACTTTGCCTAGATTATTACAATTTGTGCCTAATTTTGCATTACTTTATACGTAAAACGTATGTAGATATACAGTAAGATTGTTAAAAAAATGTATGTATTCCAACGAAAATCGAACCTGTGACTTTCAATGAAAGCAGATGATGTGATTAGTCATTAAGATAATAGGCAGGCAAATACAATAAAATCGATACCAACGACATATTTAGGCAATATAAATTTATCTAAATCGATATTTGCATTAAATGCGGGCTTAATCTATTGTAATACTCGATTAGTTCGCATCATCGATTTTCATATGAACGTACTACTAGCATTTCCGCGCGGTTCCGTACACGTAGTTCAACTATGTATTACTGTATCTTACAAAATTATAGCTTACATGTTATATTATCGTAAACTTTAATCAAAAACTACGTTTAAAAAAACCGACTTCAAAAACTAAAAAGTATAAAATAACGACACGTTTGGCTCACTTTTTAGTGACCCTACTTTCTGTGTCAGCGGTCGCGGGATCGAGTCCCGCTGGGGGTATTCATTTGTGTGATAAACACGAATGTTTGTACTCCAGTCATGGGTGTTTATATTTATAATATGTATGTATTTAAAGTTATACATATATGCGTAGTGTATCAATTATCTGGTATTCATAACACAAGCCTCGTAGCTTACCGTGGAACTAGATAGTGCTGTGTGTTAATGTTCCAACATATATATTTATTTATTTTTTTATTTAACTTAACAAAGATTTAATTTAATATACCTCTTATGCAAACCTTATATCTTTAATATTAATAAATTACTATTATTTGTATGTGCTACCTATTGATAGGTTTGAAGTCGGTGCCAAGCCAAATGTAATAATAGGTATCTACACTCGCCGCGATCTGAGAAATCTGCGTAATCGGTGTACATACATAAAAAAAAATACCAATCGAATTGAGAACCTCCTCCTTTTTGAAGTCGGTTAAAAACTCGTTCAGTAGTTAAAATTATGGAAAAATGTAAATTCATATAATTATGTTTTCCTCAAATTTTCAAAAATGATTATGATCGAATTTCGACCACTAAGCGAACACTAGCTATAATAATTTAATATATTATATCTAATAAAGGAACCAAGAGATATATTGGGTATCAAATTAATTATAATATTATTAAATTCTTCATTTACATATTAAAGAAAAATAGCTGACAGAAAAAGCTCGAGGTCTTATAATCACCGTATTGTAAAATTCTTTGTCACGAAAGTTATTCGAGAGTGATATTTTTTTTTATAAATTCTGATTAGACTTATATCATAATTTTCATTTATGTTTGTTGAGTAAATGTAAAAAAAAATCTTTAACGTGGATTAAAAACAAACGTACGAAATACCAACAAATTCAATTCCTTAGTGTATTATGTGCATATTTACAATAGTAGTAACTGGGTCGAAGATATACAGGGAATATTTTTTTTATTTGTTTTGTTTGGATATTTGAAGTACAGTTGAAAATTAAAATAAGAGTTTTTACTCTTTTGAAAAATACTGTTACTCATCAGTTAACCATTGGGCGGATTTTAAATGACCATTTAATTTAGTTTAATTTAAAATGTATGACTTGTTCTTATTGTGAGTCGTGACTTTAGTTTAAGTGAAAGTCGTCTTTGCAAAGTGAACTTTATATTCCGAAGATTACTTTCAATAATTTTGATTTTTCAATATATATACTAGCAACTCATCCTTGCTCCGCTCGTGTTCGTCCCTTGTTACGTTTTTACGTTTAGATAGATTTCTCAGAGATGAGATATTTTCTCGCAGTATAAAGTATTCTATATATTGACCCGGATAACCAATTATCATAGTACCAAGTTTTATCAAAATCTGTCCAGTGGTTTTCAAACAGAAAGATAAACAGACAATCAAAAATTCTAAAAACTATAGATTCAGCCTCTTTATAAATAATAGTGACTATTTCAATAAGATTTTCCAAAAAATATTTAGTGTACAGAGTTGAAACTCAGAATTTTATTATATTATGTATAGATGATGAAGTTTAAAACCAATTTACCTATACTATTAATATATAATGCTAAAGAGTATGTCTGTTAAAACAATAATCACTGAAAGAACCAGACCTATTAGAAAAAATCTTTTTGCATTTTATAACTTATTTCTTGAGATAACCTTTATATGTGATTTACATCATGCTTTGGCCCTTCATAACGAAGAATTCATAAAACTCTTATCAAACATCAAACTTCCCAATCTTTTTTATACATTTAATGTTAAATTCAACAAAATTGGCTGAAAAAAAAATACATTTTCGACGTAGGCCCAGGGGTAAAGTTTGAATAACAAGGATAATTTTGCACGCAGGTGGCTAATAAAGTTTCCGGGCTTCGAAATGGAGGCACGAGACCGCTCGTGTTTGCCCAATTCGTTCCCTAAGGACATTCCTGGGACGTGCTACTTCCTACACAAGTACTTACATCCTGGAACGGATCCGGATGCTACACAAGTGAGTGTTATAATCAAGTGTTTTGGTAAATATTTATTTGTAAGTATATAAACGAGTATACGATTTGTCTGTCGTGTGATTTTTATTCATTTGTAAAATATGTTCTATTTTTATTGTATAGATTCATATACTATATGTATATATGAAAAAAAATGTATAATAGTTTATTTTTTGTTTATATTGTTATATTTATTAATATTTATATGATACTTTTTACTATGCAGCATCTATCTCTGAATTCTTCTAAGCATTTATCACTAGGTTACACTTAAATTAGGAAAATAAAACTCAATATAAGGTGTACATATTAAGTAAGTTTTTTTTTGGTGTAAAACCTTTTTTAAATGGACCGAATTTGGAAAATGTCCGCCTTATTTAATATTAAATAATTCTAAAATGCCTAAATATTATAATCTGTTTAATATACATTAATAGCGGGTGATAACATAATATTCATTATCATAAACACATATAGCAGGTGAGTCATTTATATTGCGAGCTTTGACATGGGTTGGTCCGGTGACCTTCATTAACTAAGGACGCTTAGCTTTACGCTGTAAATACAGGTTTAACTAAACGGTAGCGAGGACACTTAATGAAATATAAACTACACAAGTTTGATTCTTGTTTCTTGTTTTACTATTGTATTTCTGAAGTCTCGCACCTATTGATATAATATGATATTTATATCATTTCCAACATGATTACCACTTGTCTTACGGTGAAGGAAGAAATCTCACGTTTTTTTATATGACGGAGACCTACATGTCTGAGAGTACCTTGCAAGTTTTCGAAAGATACGAGTTTGTGAAGTCCGCCAACCCGAATTAAGCTAGCCAGATCCATTATATCCTTAGAAATATCCATGCCCAGCAGAGGGACATTAGAAAAAGGTTAATAGATACGTACAGACGTATTTCTTGTATTTTTTTTAATAAAACTTGTAAAGTGCACTATTACGGACTGACACAAGAAAATATTCTAAAATCTAAACTATATATGTACATGTTGGTCTTTGCTTTGCTTAAATATATTATTTCCATACAATTTTTCCGATTGTATGCGATAACGATTATAGCAGGTTTTCTTGTTCAAGTTCGCTATTTATTTAGTTGAAGTAACATAAGCACGACTGCATTGACTCAGTCGCGCCAGTAATAACCTCTCTGAGACTATATACGTAAAGTATCAGTACCCACACTACATTTTTGTTTTTGAATCACCCTATTTGTTCTAGATAATCTACGTAATTATATGTTCATTTATTTCAGTTTATTCTTTCATTTTCTTTTTCACCCCTTAAATACTAAGCACTTGGGCGACGGAGCTTCGCTCGGCGTAAGTTCTTGTAGGAATAAGGCTTTAATATTAATTAGTTATAATTTTTTTGACATAAATTACATATTTTCAGGAAAGATATCTAGATCAACTTAACGCAAAACCTAAAATACAAAATTTGATCCAAATCGTTAGAGCCGTATGCGAGATACACAAGTTATTTTTTTTTTCAAGAATTGCTTATTTATATTATAATATACAGGCCTTAATATTATGCTAATTAAAAAAATGCCGTCAACCTTATGATAAAATATATGCAGCACAATTTAGCATTAACTTGCAAGCTATAAAAGCTTTAATTAAATAAAGCAGTGGAGGAACACCTTTATTATATCATCCTGTAACCCTTGCGCAGGTGACTCATTCATTTTGTGGACCATAATGTGGGTTGGCCCGTAGTTATTACGGTTATGTTCATTAGCAAATTGCGATTACATCTGTTGTAAACACTTGTGTGTTTACTTCACGAAATAGCAGTTGTTAAGTTAAACTAAATGTTATTAGTTAACAAATCTATAATCACCCGAAATAATTATGAGGAAAGTGAAAGATGATGTTTACATTTGGTAGAATAAAACATTTCGCAGGTTCGATTCTCGCCTACATTATACTCGTATCTACGGTTTTTTTAAGTGAAAGTTGAATATTATTTTGAGAAATTAATAAAATCAATATGTTAATCTTTCTTACCTTTATAAAATCAACTACGACAAATTATTCTTTTGTAAATAAAACAACTTATATTTTTTTTATAATTATCTAAATATTCTAATAAATAAATAGTTTTGTAACCATTTCTTACCAATAATTTTCATTAATCATTAGAAAATTTTGACTAAAATTCGAAATATGTACGCAGGTAAAGCATATAGAAGACGCTCTAAAAGATTTCGGCATCGGCAAAGGAAAAACTTGCGAAGAGGATTGCGAGGAACCTACATAGTTCTGTAACTATACCATTCCTGTAGAAACTTAAATATGTTGTAAATAACTAGAAATTAGCTATTAATAGTTCTATTTGTATGTATGTTCTTGTACGATATTTGATCTCATAGCTGTAATAACTAATTCTAATACGAATATTTGTTGTATATGAAGACATTTTGTTTGTTTTCTAAACTAATCTATGGAAATTTTATTGTGAAATGACTTCTAGTATAATCTGAAGTATGCCTTAAAATTCTAATTAACAGCACAGATTAAAAAATAAATTAAAACGTATAAAAATAATCTGACAGACGCTCAGTTTATATAAAAACTTTTTGCGTCATAAAGCTTTACCATTCAGAAGCAATTATTGTCGTTCCTTTGAATGTTTTTTTTTAATATTCCAATCGTTTTCGTGTTTCGTCTCTGATATCTCTATGGTAATCTCTCAAGGCTCGTTTAATTTTTACGTTCAAAATACTTCATCTCCTTAATTACTTTGGAAACCACATTGCGAAAGTGGACCTAACGATGCTACGCTTAATATTTTATTTTGTTTACACCAATTTGTATTTACGTTTTGAATATCCTAAGAAACTTTTAATACTTTTTCAGAAGATTATATATTAACTGCTAACGACCTGTTTTAATCTATAAGGTACTTTTTCATCTAAGTAAACAGAAATCACTTGTTATCTATACTGATATTATAAATGCGAAAGTTTGTGAGGATGTATGGATGTCTGGATGTTTGTTACTCTTTCACGCAAAAACGACTGAATGGATTTTAATGAAACTTTACAATAATATAGCTCATACATCAGAATAACACATAGGCTACTTTTTATCTCGGTAAAATGTACGGTTCCAGTGGGATAGGTTTGTTTTTGTTTTTCTAGTGATGTACATATATTTTGATTACTTTTTAAGGGTAGTAGTAAAGTGATAAAAATTTACTTCTTCTGCAAAAGTAGTTGTAGAATGCACGATTACTAACTTGTATGTATGTTATATATAGACGGAAAATAATGTACATTCTTTAGTGGAAAATATATGTATATTTTAACCAAACATTTTTTAACGTGGACTTATTGTTTTTCTCTTGAATTTAAGCAGTAATAAGTTTCTTTAAAGATTTTTAGTACAAAAGTATGCACTTTTAACATAGTATGCTAAATATGTGTTTTCTTGTAATTTTGACTCATTTCAAAAATGACGATATAATCTATTCGGGTATTTAATTTTTTTTAATATATGTTTTATATATCATATAATTTGAAGGAAATTTCCACCTCTGAAGGTGGAATAATTAAGAAAAAAAAACTATTCCTTTAACTTAAAAACTTGCAATACTATAGTGGCCAATTTTTCTTTGAACCGCAAATGAAATACGTTGAAAAAATAGTTTATTTACTAAAAAACTTGCGTAGGTGTCTTCTAGTGACAAAAAAATTAGAATCGATCTAGCAGTTATAGCGATAACCGTTACTTTTTAACAAAATTACCTCATTTTTATCACTTCCCATGTGTTATATTAAAATTTGATAAATCATACATTATCCATTTTTTAATTTCAAGTACCTTATAAAAATAAATTTAATTCACATATTTTGATGTTGTTATAAGCTGTTATATAGATCCATTTAAAGCTATGTATAAGTAAATGTAAATAATGAATCTGGGATAAATTACGACTTATTACTGGTGTATACTTTGCCGGTGTTGTATAATATTAGAACTTAATTATGTACACGCTTTAACATAGGTGATAGTTTAATAAGTATATATAATTATATGAATTCATTTACATTCCTTTATGCCTTTGTAAATAAATTGCTTAAAGAATAACAAAATGTATTTATTAAAGTATTTAATTAGTTTCACATATTCTTGTACAAGTATCATAATAAGATTTACTGACCACTAAATATATAGCATAGCTGTTTCATAGCAATATTTAATTAGTATTATATTATCTATCTATCTATCTATATAAATGAATGTTCGTATGTTTGTCCTCTATGCGTTCCTATATGATCCGACTGTGATGAAACTCTGGTGAGATATCCTGTATACGTCTGCGAAAGTTACTGGCCCATTAAAAATATTTTTAAAGTCATACTTCTTTTGCACGTTTGGAAAATTTTTTACGATGCGCGCGCTCACCGACAGCCAAAAAGCGACATGATTAAGTTAACTGAAAGGTGCACGATGAAGTTAGCTGCATTCTTTTTACAAACAGAGAGTTGTGACATACGCGGTGAAATGTTTTGCTACTTTTGTTTTGTTACGCGAAATAAGTATAGCTTTTTACGTGCGTACATACACACATATTTTTTTCTTTGGCCTTTTTTACGCATTTTTAAGCTTAGCATTAGTTAATAAATCAAAATAAAACACTATAATTCCATATATTTTAAAACGAGTAAAGATAAGATTCGAGAGTTTAGTGGTGAGTGAACCTTATTTATTATATACTCTTTTGTAGAAAATATTTAGAAAACTATAAATATTGTAATAATGAAAAAGCGTACGTTCTAAAGTAGACTAAAAGCTTACTGCGATAACTTGTACAGTATCTCGATACTAAAGTATTTCTGGAGTCTACGACACGGATAGTTTATAGCTAAGTATCTTAACTATCTAGTCTCTAGATTTAGTATAACGAAACGAGTCTGTTGCTACCTGAAGCTTGTACTAATAAACTATCTTCAAATTTCGGATCACTCTCGATACAATCTCCAAATTCTCTAATGCACTTTTTTCTAACGTAAACGTATTTACGTTTTCGTATCGTTACGAATATTTGTATAGTAAAGTATGCTGGAAACCTGAATTCAATTTACACTGTAAATTCTCAGAGTGACACGTCAGTTCTTGTAGTTCTTGAGATTGTACCAAGAGTTAGTAGAAAATGATAGAAATAAATTAAGTATAAATTCTAAGTCATTATTTAAGCTAATATTCTTAAAATACAACGATTTTTAACATCAATTTTGTAGTATACAATAGAATAGATTGCAATATATAAAGCCTGAGTTATTTAAAAGTGTATTGATTCCTAAGCATTTTTTTTTTAATAAATCATGTAATTTAGGAATGCTTTGAACTCGTCACATATCGCGTAGGAATGTTAGTGGAACATCTAGTCACTTAGCTTAATAGTAGTCACATGTAATTTAATAAATATTAATATAGACAATAAAAGTTATATAAAATACAATTTCACATTATCGATTTTTTTTCTTAGAAGATATTCAAGATTAAGAGAACAAAGAAGTGTTTTAAGGGAACGTTTTGCTTAAAATCGAGAAAGTAATTTGTCATCATTTAAATTTGTGAAATGAATCATAAAAATATAATTTAAAGTACTGGGTTCGATTCCCGGTTGGATCAATTTATTTAAAATATCAATAGAATCTCTTAAATAATAGTGCATTAATAATAAAAATATATTTAGGGAAGTCTCACTCTATTTAAATCTATTTTAAGCGTGTTTAAGTAGTGTTTTAACGTTTATAAGTCACTATAGACTATATTACTTTGTAAATAAACTATTAAGTGATAGTTAATCACATCTTTGAGAATATAGAATAAATAAGCTTTAAATTTTAGATGCTCTATGTAAAGTGTCTGAAATTGTAAATCTTTCATAAAAGGACACATTTAAGACAGTTATTTCTTTACAAAAATCATTTTCGTCACGTTCCTTACAATATTATGCATGTCATTGTTAAGTTTTCATATAAAAGCACTATTGAGTCAAACACTTGTTGGTTTTTTTAGATTTTTAAGCCACTGAAAGAATATATTTTCAGAAGTCTTTGGTGTAACACAACATTGACTCATTTCGCCATCGAAATTATGCCCAGCGGCTATGCTTAAATGACAACCATGGCTACTTAAATGGCTACCATATACATATATGACCAAAAAAAGAATCTCAGGTAATTCGAAATAAAGTTAAATAAATACATGTATGCATGTGTGTATATCAAAATAAAGATGTAAATCATAATAATTTAAAATCTAGTCGTCTGTATGTACTAAAACTATATTGTTAGCATGCACACGAGTTAAAATTTAACATTGAAAATATACCATATTAGTAAACTATTAAGATTCCTTATAAATGTAAATTAAATGTACAATTTCCATCGTTTCTATGTATCGCCTCAATCACGGCCTTGTACTAGGTATAGTGTCTATAAATCTGAATTTTAGAACGAAAAGAATCACGTAATATTATAAGCTATTTGTATTCCACGCTCGCGATATTCTTTTCTAGGATCTTGCCCAAAGGAAGAAGTGTAATTGTGAATGCACTATTAGCAAAAATGTGAAATAAAATGTTTCTTTCATAATCCAGGTCTTTTATTTATAGCTTTACACGAAATAAGCTAATCTATACACGTAATAAAATTCTAACGAAGTCGAATCTCTACATTAAAATATTTTTTGGAAAACCTTATTGAACTAACTAGACATTATTATCGATCCAGAGATCGAATCTACATATAGTTTTTAGAAATATTGTCTGTCTGTTACCGCATCACAAAAAAACCACTGGAGAGATTTTGATGAAATTTGGTATGGTGATAGCTGGTTATCCGGGTCAAAAAAAGAATACTTTTTACTGCGGGAAAATATCTCATTTGTGAGCTAAACGGTAAAACCTAATTAGGGACAAACCCGAGCGGAGCGAGAGTGATAATGTCCTTTTGACCGATTTCTGACAATGTAACTTCACTAAGATAAGCCAACAGCACACAAGTACACTCTATATTCCTTCCACTCTTAAAGACATACATAAAATATCATCCGATGACTGTACGTGTTCTCCGAGATACGAGGGTATTATATCGACAACATTCCAAAACCACGTCGAGCTACTAGTGGGAATTTCTCAAAAGAAAATTTAATAACTACACGTAGAAATCAAACTAAGGACTCTCAGGTTAACTAGATAAGAATAAACTAATGGGTTAGGCATATGAAATATATTAATTACCA